ATTATTTTTAAAAAATATTAGAGGTTTCAGGGTTTCAAATGAACACTTTTTTTATTTTGTCCAAACTAATAGTCATGAAAATAAAAATGCTATATAGAAAGTTAATTTTCGTGTTCGGTTACATGTGTGAGCCACTGTACTTGAACTCGAACTGGACTTTTGGTCAGGTTCGAGTCAGATTTGAAGTTTGAACCAAACTCGAACCAGACTTTTAATTGGGTTCAAATTTTTGAACCAGACTTTTGGTCAGGTTCAAGTTCAGTTCAAGCTCAAACTAAATCAGACTCGAACTGAACCAGACTTTTTTCAGAATCCTACTAACAACAATACTAACACATGTGTTAACGTCAATAACATCGATAACACTCGTGTTTAATTGAGTTAAATGACACTGATACTTTTGATTTACAAAATCAACACTACCAATAACGCTAATATTAATACATACATGTATTAACGTTAATTACATTTATTTACAATTCTAAATTTTTGACATGAATAACTTTTCGTCGATTTGACAGATTACAATTGGCGCATTCCTTGCGTACGTAATATGACTTCTGAATTGTCATCACGTGATAAAGAAACTCGCTTTAACGCCAAACTAATGACAGTGGCAACAGCCGCACAAACTATTGCAAAGCAAAAAACTTTATGTACAGCATTGATATAAATGTCCATAACTTCTATTTTAAGGTTCGCGTTCAATGTTCTAATAACGTCAAATGACTTTTCTATTGCTTCGATTGTAACATCCGTCGATTCCAACAAATTCTTTAAACGTCCATTCAAGGAAGTATTATAAATCGCCTCACTAATTGCGATACCAAATAGTGAGCCAATTGTTTGAAAAGTGATCACAAGACAAGTAACACTTGTAATGTTTTCGTGTTTGACTGATTGTTGTGCCAAAAGAATGGCAGTTTGCATCGATGCGCCAATACCAGCACCAGCTAGCAATAATTCTCCATATTTTGTTCTTTGTTCCGATGAAACGTTTAACCTTCTTATTAAGTCGATGGCAAGAGCAATTGCTGCAAATCCAATAGTGATAAAGGGACGAAAATGATAAGATAATATCGTCACGATACCACCGACTAACGAAAAGAGAACTAGCCCAATAAATAATGGCCATAATTGTATTCCAGATTTTGATACGCTCATGTTGTCCATTATTTGCAAATATATTGGTATATAGTGAATAAGTGAAAAGATTGCCATTCCGATTATAAAATTGCAAATATTAATGATTAAGACATTACGGGTTTTGAAGAGTTTAAAAGGGATGAGAGGTTCTTTGGCTATTCGGAATTCAACAAAAATAAATAAAAAGAATAATAGAAGACCAGCTACTAAGAATAATATTACGAATGTTGAACTCCATTCCTCGTTATCTCCTGCCCAATCAAGTGCTAATAAATTCGCAAGAATAGAAAGTGAAAATAATAATATTCCGATATAATCAATACGTATAAGTTTTTCTCGACGTGATCCTCGAATTGCTGTTGTTTCGGTAAAAATTATAACAACAATAGTTGCGAATAAAGAAACAGGAATGTTTGTAAAGAATACCCATCTCCAAGAAGCATATACAATAAAGATGCCTTTAATCGTGGGGCCCGACACTGTTGCAACAACAAAAATTCCACTCATAATTACATGATAAATGTTTCCGAAACTTTCTGGAACAACATCTAAAACACTCATCATCGTAAAACAAACAATGCCGCCGCCACCAATACCCGAAATAGAACGACCAAATATTATCATAATCAGATTCTGTGAAGCACCGGAAAGAACTGAACCGATCGTAAAAATAGAATTAACAAATATAAAAGTGTATTTACGACCGAAGATTTCAGAAAATTTTGCGTAGAGTGAGAGAGTTGCGATGAAAGTAAAGAGATATGATGTTCCTATCCACAAAGTGGGGCTGATTGAATCAACATCCGAGGGAATCTTTGGAATTGCTTTTATCGTGATTGTTTGATCGAGTGCAGCGAAGAACATTGCAAGTGCTAAAGCGATAAACAAGATTATTCTTTTCACTAAAGGCAATTTATTATTGATTGACGAATTTCTATTACCAACTAATGCTTGTGTTGCAGTCGTTGATGTTTGAGTCAGTTCTAGTGAATTCGGCAATACAACAAGTGTTAAAAAATTATCTTCTTCGTTATCAACATTATTTGAAGTGCTCTCAGATAATGTAGGAAAGTTTTCTTCGTCTCGAAAAATCAAACCAGTCGCTCGATTTTCTTGATCCATTATCTACTTTTTCTATATATGACTTGTATGTTTTTATATATGCTCTCTAAAAATAAGATTCGGGAAAACTTTAACACGAAATAATTTATAGCATTGACATATGCATCTGTTTACATGTATACGTAATGATTCATGTGCATTATCTATGAATACGTAAATGTTTATGTAAGTACGTACTGTTACTGTATTTGTCAATGAAGATCAAATACAAAAATACATGTACATAATAGCCGTAGAAACCATTTTTGGGAAATAAGTACAAGAAATTCAAAATTTATATATAGTAATTTTTTAAAGTTTAAAGAACTCAAATTATTCGCTATGTTCTATTTTGGGGATCCACTAAAGTCGGGTATTATCACGTGATTTTGGATTCGTTCCGGATCCAGATCATGTGAAAAACTTCACGTGCTAAATAATAATTGGGTGAATAATTTTGATCAACAGACAAAGCAAGATAGTTTCATGTGATAATAGCCAATAAAAATACCAGTGTTGGCATGATGAGCTTTGAATAAACCCACACTAAAAGTACTAATCATAAAGTTGGCAAGCAATTTTACAGTGTTTCTGGTTGACAGCAAAAATAAACTGAACAATTAAAAAGTTAATTTGATTGTTGTTGACATTGTTTTCAAGATCACTTCCCCCCAAAGACTCCCATTTCATCTGAAATATCATCCTATACTCGCCAAAGAACCCACTGGATCCGGTCGCGACGAAACCAGCACAAACTGGACACCCGAGGAACTCTTACTAACCCTCGCTAACACCAGCGATCTCGGAAAAATGCCAACAATATCCAACCAATTTTTGTGGTCCGAATACAAAGAATGTTCGTCTTGATTAGACGAATCAAACGAACCCGAGTTCGCAGAATTCTAAACACAGATCGGCGAGATATTGTTGCTTCACGGACCGCCCGGCATTTTGCGATTTTTCATGCGCCGACTTTGAATACCAATAACTCCACCATTATTGTCCCGATTTATTGATCTAAACGCAAAAATATTCACCTTAATTATAGGGCTATAGATCGCAAAGATCTGATCATATGTTCCAGAGATATGGGCACCGTATAGACCCGGTGCGAGACCAAACCGGAAACCAATCGAAATTTGCAACGAAATGAAGAAACTAGACGCCCACCAATAAATAAAAAGAAACGTCAAATACTCACACTCAAGAAACTCGATACGAAACCGGTCGCGTAAGATGTTAGGAGTTTGGCCGTCATTTTCGTTTCGCTGGAGTTGCGAATTTCTCCAGGTCGCGATCAGTTTCCAATTTGATTCACGTCGGTGGTGTTGTTAGTGAGTATTTGGCGCTTCTTTTCGTTGGTGAGGGTTCCAGCTAGAATTTGCTAGGCCAACTACAAAACAACACATTTGTTTGATAGCGATGATATTTTGCAGAATTCAGCCAATCATTGAATGTGTTACAGATATAGGTCATGTGTTTTAAGTCAATCGGGATAACTATAAGATTATCCGAGTTGACTTAATCCTTAATCCACTATCTTACTTTAGTGTTCCCCCATAAAAAGAAATTATCGTATTTTCATGTGTTGAAGATTATATGTATCGTTAAAGCAACTCTTCACTTGAAAAAATTTACTTGGTTATTAGAAGCCAACATAACTTGATTATTACGTATCGTGTTAAACCACGGGGTTTTAATCGGACTAGAACCAAATTGTATACTCATAGAGGAGCCTAAATGCCGTAATTAATTTCAGCATCCGTGACCATGTACGTGTAAATGTCCAGTTATTTTTGGCAGCCGTAATTTAATTACATGTAATTAGGTTCGTATGGGTGGATTTGCTTGAACAAAAGATAATGAATTATACAAATCAAAATCATTTATGGAACACGTGTTTCAATCTAAGAGAACCGTCAAATAATAATAAAAGAAAATAAATACAGCTAATTTTCTTGTACAAAGTACATGTATTTAAATTTTTTTAACTTCTACCACCACCACTAATAATACCACATAAACCATTTTTTTTATCGAAGCCACTCTCCCATCTTCCTCCCGATTACCAACGGCTATTCGTCAACAAATCTGAAAGACGTTCACCACGTGAAAATCTGTCTCTCTAATCCGAAGCTTTATATACAGCGGGTGTCAGCGCGCTTCTTCCTCTATCAAATATAGATATATATAAACACAAAAAAAACTATCAATTAACGACAATAACTAATACTATAATACTAATAATTCTCTACTAATCAGTAATCTCTGGAAAATTTTCGAAGTAAACTTCAGTGACAATACAAAAAGCAACAAATAAAATAGGTAACAACAAAAATAAAGGGAGGGGGGATTTTTAAAATTATTATTACAAGTAAATTCATTGATCTGGTTGATCAATGAATTTGTAAAGAAGACGAGATTAAAAAAAAATGTTACAAAACTTCAGTTCCATAATTGGAGCATGAAGATATTTAAAAAAATTTGTGCAATAAAAAAAGGTTACCGATCGCCATCAGGACATAAACCTGCCTTCCTGCCTGTCATCCTACAACATATATATAAATAACCAAAAAGGCGAAAAAAAAGAAAATAAGAAAATAACAAATTTTCAGCAATATTATGAATTATTCTTCGTTTTGTGTTCTTCCGTCTCGTTTTTTGATTCTCGATTCTTCTTGTTTGTTCTTTATTATTTCTTTTCTGGCGACTGATTTGGGAATTGTTGGACTTTTCCGGTTCCATTTCCGGCTCCGTTTGGATTACCAGGCCAATATCCAGGTTGCATGTACTGTGTATTTTGAGGATACTGACCAAGATACTGTTGATTGTGTTGAGTTTGATATTGCGTTGACATATAATTGGAAGAAAGTCCACCAGCGTTCATTGGTAGATTTGCGGGGAGACCGGGATATTGACTCGTGTATCCCATGTTCAGTTGTTGTTGAGCAGCAGCAGCTTGTTGAGCGGCAGCAGCATAGTTGTGGGTCGGTGTGGTGGAAAGTTGACCGCTTGTTGATGGATGCTACATAGTGTGTGGCATCAAATAAAAAAATTCCAAGTTTGATGATCAGATGCTTACCTAAAATCATATGTGGCGGCATAATTTAACGCACAATAGGATTTTGATTTTATACCTTCCGATCATTGTCGTACATGTTATCACTATTGCTTTCGAGTGGTGAAGAATTATCATTTCCATACACTGGAGATGTTTGAGCTTGTCTTGTCTATGTTAGGTGATATGTATCGTACAAGATTACACATGCATCGTGATTAGTAAATCTGTATGGAAATCATATGAACTTGGGAGAACACCTTTGATCTTACCGGTGTCGGTGCAGCATCGGTAGTTGATGGATTATCAGGAGCATTCAAACACGTCTGAATCAGATTTTTACCTTCAGGCTTGGTGACCAGAGGTTGAAGTTTCGGAGTGGTGAAAGTGTACACCAAGCCGGTTTCGGATACGACCAAAAGAAGAACTTGAGTGCCCGTCAACGTGCTTAATTCGTACGCCTAACAGATTATAGAATATATATATATTTAGTAAAATGCATACGAATATCAGTAATAGAAATGATTTATGCAGATCTTACTGCTAACCTTCTTCATTATACCAGCTTTTCGCTTACTAAAAGTGATATGGCGCCTGCTCTTGTCATCGATATATTCAATTTTAATTTTGCGACGGCCAGCACGCTTTTCTGACTTTGTTTCATCGTCGTCAACTTCCGAGTCGTCGTCTTCATGTTCACGTTTAGCACCTCGTGAGGAAATTTGTTCGGGTAGTTCACCTGAGTGACCACTTGCATTACTTTGTTTTCGTTGAGGAGTTGATAAATTGCTCATCGTTGTCTATAGATTAGTTGTCATGTTACAAGGGTAGGTCAAGTAGGGTGGTGGCAATAGGGGATGGCGGTAAAGTAAAAAGACATGGTGAAAGTGAAGTGTAAAAATGTAATGAGAAAGTGTGTATGTATTATGGTTGTTATGAGTTTGTATTATTATCGAAGGGAGAAATGTAATGAGAGAAGGAAAAAAAGAAGTATCGTGGTGAGTAAGAGATTAGACCAGTTAGCGAAAAGACATCATGACTAATACCAATGATGCTATATATGTATGTATGCGTGTCGTTTTTTTTTCTTTAACTAGGTTTGGTGACAGTCTCACCGGAGAATTCCAAACGGAGTAGCAAACAAACTGGACTAGTTTCCAAATACGTCTATGAAGAAGAAACTCTAAAAATTAAATAAGTACCTGCTTTGTTTTTCTCGTTATTTTTCCCTTTGGCGATGATGTTGATTGATGTGTCAAAGTCTCTATTACGTGTGTGCGTGCGTGCGTGCGTGTGTGTGTGTGTGTCTGTGTTTGCGCGTGGTGTTGCGTTTATAATGAATGCTTCTTCGTTCTTTTATCCCGAATATTGGCGAATAAATAAAGTATTAGATGTTGATTGAATTTTCTTGTCCGTTCCCAAAAGTCTAAATGCGCAGTAAATTCTCAGTAAGTACTATTCGATTAATTAATTAATTAATTTATTGAATAGGGATAAATAGGATAAGATAGGTTAAGCGATAATATTATTGAGGCGACTTTTTTCTGATGAGGCAACAATTTGAGGGTCAGGGTTGAACAAAAAGTCGACAGAAAAGGACGAAGGATTTTTATAAGATAATACCAAAAGTAGTATTCATTGAAATTACTCGCTGACTTTCATAATAACGACATAATATAACAATAATAATCAACATCATAATCATAATCAAATCATAATAATCTTAAAAAAAAATGTGCAGTGAAACATGAATACAAAACGCCGAAAAAACTTGTTCATTTCAGGTAAAGAAAAACGGTTGGCTAATTTTTTTGTTTTCCGGAGCGAATGACCGACTTACTACGTTCAACAAACCATACGCGGTAATAATTGATGCTGTTCCCTCCCATTGAACAAAGGGAAGGAGCCACACATACACACAAACACACAAAGAATTCTGGTTTTTTTTTATTTGTGAATTTCTTTTTTTGTCATTGAAAGCAGAGGTAGCGTGAATAGGCAATAGAGTGAACACAGACTTTTTTTTTCCGTTTATCATTCATCATTCTCAATTATTGTTTTATTATTGATCATTGATTACATATCATACATGGTCATATAACGCATATACTCTCACTTATACGAAAAATATACACAAACAAATAATAGTAATAATAGAGGCGCTCCAACAATATTAAAATATTTCGATTGGCTGACTTGAAGCGATGCAATATAACAATAATCATTCCCCTTTTTTACATCTGTACACACGCACAACGCAGAGAGGGTAAGGTGGATTGCGTGTGAGCCTACGGTAAATATTACTTTTTTTCGTTAAAAATAGAAAACAAGTATTTTGGGTAAATCAACAATTAAGAACGACAATCAAATGTTATTTATTTATCTATTTATCGCAATCACATAACGATAATTACGTATTCTAATTGCTCCGAATTCTAATGAATGGGTCTTATTTTACTTGCTTTTTGGGTAAATCAGATTTTCCTCCCTCCCTCTCTCTCTCTGACACATTCGTTCATACATACATATTCACACAGAATTCTTTTTTGAAATGTCAAGTTCAATGCATTTTTCCTCAAGCACATGTAAAAACTTGTTGTTCGCGTGATTCCGGACCTAGTCGATCTCGTTCCGAAAGAAAGAAATATGCACACAATCACGTGGATTAAATTAATAATTGATAGAGATTCCCATAAAACCTTGAATCTACAAAAATGAGACATATAGCGATTGGGTTAGAGGGTTCAGCAAATAAACTTGGTATCGGAATAGTAACGCATGATGATGTAACCGGAAAAGTGGAAATATTATCTAATATTCGACACACACATATCACACCACCGGGCACCGGGTTTCTCCCAAGAGACACAGCAGCACATCATCGAGAACATGTTTTACCCGTTCTCGAAAATGCCCTTAAAGAAGCGAACATAACAATCAAAGATATTAATGTGATTTGTTTTACTAAAGGACCCGGTATGGGTGCACCTCTAGCATCTGTGGCTATTGTTGCCAGAACTTTGTCATTGTTATGGGATAAACCATTGGTTGGTGTAAATCATTGTATTGGACACATTGAAATGGGACGAGAAATTACTGGCGCCAAAAATCCTGTAGTGTTATATGTGAGTGGTGGGAATACTCAAGTGATTGCTTATGCTGAAAAACGGTATCGGATCTTTGGGGAAACTTTGGATATTGCAGTTGGCAATTGTCTGGATCGATTCGCCAGAGTATTGAATTTATCGAACGATCCTAGTCCAGGATATAGTATCGAGCAAGCTGCTAAATCCGGGAAAACGTTTATCGAACTTCCGTACACCGTGAAAGGAATGGACGTGTCATTTTCTGGGATATTATCTTACATCGAAATGATTGCCCAAGATCAACTCGCAAGCGGTGAATGCACCCCCGAAGACTTATGTTTCTCATTACAAGAGACGATATTTGCAATGTTGGTTGAGACCACTGAACGCGCGATGGCACATATTGGAAGTAATGAGGTGTTGATTGTGGGTGGGGTCGGATGCAATTTGAGGCTGCAGGAGATGATGGCGCAAATGGCTGAACAACGTGGCGGGAAAGTTTTTGCGACCGATGAAAGATTTTGTATTGATAATGGGATAATGATCGCGCACGCTGGTTTATTGGCTTTTAGAACTGGATTTACTACGTCGTTGGAAGAGTCATTTTGTACTCAAAGATTTAGAACTGATGAAGTTTATGTGTCGTGGAGAGATTAACTATTAGGTACATTATTATTCAATTAATCAATACGTGAAAGAGTGTATTGATCTAAAAACCCCAAAACTACATTATATATGTTGTTGTCGTCTATTATCATTGCCCTATCTTTTTCTATGCTAATTGAGCAAAGCAAAATATCCTATACTTTATCCGATACTAATCCATTTATAATATTCATTGTATTGCCAATCTTGTTGTAACATCCAAAGCTCCAAATTTGGCAAAAATCCATTTAAATTATTCCAATTGCAATGCACGCTTATTGCTTTTACAGTTTCTGGAAAAGATTCACCAATAGCGGCCGCGCAACTTGATTTTCTCCAAACGGGAGCATGATTCAAGTAACCAAACGATCTATATGACATTTGGGTGAAATGAGAAAGTTTGCATATCATGGTTTCCAAAGGTGTGTCACAGTGATCAACCTTTAATTAGAAGAGTGACGGTTATGTGTACATGTATGTGTGTTTACCATCTGAAATGCACAAGGAATTACTATTCGAAACAAGAATGAATGTTAAAATCAATATCGATATCACTGCCGTTTGAATTATCATGCATAGCCAAGGACGAATCACCATTTTTTTTGTCAAGCCCAAAAAATTGACGCTTCAAATAAAATACGTGAATTATTAACGTTAATATTTGTAGACGAGTTAACAAAGGTGAATATATCTATAACGGCAGATGACGTGGTTGATGTTTTTGTCATTCAAGATGACAAATTGAAAACAAGATTTACTTTTTCTGAATTGGAAATTGAGAATTAGTTCAATCCGTAATGTTCTTCTAAAATATCGATATGTACTTTTTCGGAAACCCGTATTTTAACAATCTTTGATGACGAACTCTACTGATCTACGTTGAACAAACAATCTTTGAAATTTTGATTAACGCTGGAATAAGTTACGCTGCCACTAGGTGTAAAATCTAGAATATTGAAAGCACTTCGTGGCCATATTTCCTATAAAAATATGAACGTTCTATTCTAGTTCCTGAAAAGTACTGTTGAATTGCCTAGTACGAGTGGTGGATAGGATATATGAATAAAATGATATTTACTTTTTTAATATTAATAATATAGATTGAGAAAAGGAGATGGTGGGCATGATATAGAAGGAGAAGTTACAAAAATTCAAATTGTTATACAATCTAAAGATTGGGATGAAAGGGTTTGTGTTCCTGTAATTCGAGATTTAGAAGGTAATTTTAATTATAATTAATTATTTATAATTATTATTTTAATGTAATTGATTATTTATAATTATTATATTTTTTAGGGATATTATCACAATATTCAGCAAATACAATTGGAATTATTACAACTTCTAGAATAGACAGATTCACTAGAGGTGCTATAGAGAGAGTAGATAAATCAATATATGATATATTATTAACTAATAGAAATAATATTATTAAAGATTTATTTAATTTTATAAATAAAAATAAATTAGATTTTATAGAAGATCAAGTAGAATTCATTATTAATCATTTAAATAGAATGGAAAATATAGTTAATCAAACAAAAGATATTATATATAGAAATATTATAAATAATATATTAGTTTTTTTTTTATTTTATACTTTATTTTTTAATTTTTATATATTTTATTTTTTTAAATATTTATTTTATTAAAAATTATTTTTTTAATTAATAAATTCAATTTAATAATTATTAGTTACAAGACATGTTCATATTAATGAATTTGTATTTGTATAACATGTAAAACTGAGATTTTGAGATAAAAAAAACTTTTTTATATTTATATTAAATTACTTTTTCATTTTAAACAAGTTTAAATTGTTATTTTTTGTACTTTTATTATATATTAATTACATGCTTTTTATTCAAATCTATATTAACTTTACTTAGAGCTGAAAAATGTTATCTTTTTTACATAAATACTAAAATCTTCTTTCAATTATACTTATTTTAAGCTAGTCTTACAAATAGTAAACAAAAAGTACTTCAGAATATCTTACTGATACAAAAGTATTTTGCTTGTAACTTTTAATTATTGATCAAAAGCATTTTTAATAAGAGCTG